ATTTCTCATCTAAGCTACTAAACAACCACTCTCACTGGATACACACGGTTTAACAAGTACGGCATTCATTTCTTTTACGCAATCGAAATTTAAAGTTGAGTTTTCCCGTACCTCTTCGCATCGCAACTCCATAATATCTTATCTGTCTCGCTACCTAGTCGACCCATGAGTGATGATGGAACAATCGTTTGGTTATTCCAAAATGAAAACCTTTTGATGTTCATGTCATTTCACATCATTGCCTCACGGACGCAGTGTTGTAGTATGTCCGCGTAGTCAGAGTAATTTGCTGTAAATGCCCCCACCCGAATGTATACAGCTTAATTTTACTTGACATAGATTAGTTAGCAGCAGAAATCGATTTAGCTCAGTTTTGTACTGACACAGATTGACTTGTTCTTACTAAGTGTGATAGTCGGTTCCCAAAAACGGATTACCGAACTACAAACTACTCGAAATTAAGACGTGAACTTCTGTTGAGGAAGAATAATTTTCGGTTTGTTAAGTTGTAGTCTTCATCTTCCCTAAACTTTAACTAGACACTTGAACTGAAACTGAGATGGTGCATCCGTTTATAAAAGAAAACTAATTCATCTTTAGTTTTCATAGCCAAACTGCCTCCATGCTCAGTAGCTCACATATGTCATGATATGTTGCCAACGAGGATTCACTCATAGGACTTTCAGTGAACTTCCGCAACAAAAACATCCAGTGATATTAGATCACTCTTGTTCATGGGACTGTAGATAATCGTGCAATACTCAAAATGTGGACGTAAGCAAAGCAAATAAGGAGCAGGCTTTGCTTTGGGTGAGCTTATTGAGCCGTCGATTACAGCTAGAGTCTGATAAAATGAATTCAAGATGACACATTGTGCACATCATTACCAATCGCTTGGTTACATGTGTACTTTTCTTTGTATCGCATTTCTTTTAAGGATGTGAATGGGACCAATATAAAATGACGCCAAAAATTATTGTCATGAAATCAGTTGTTACTCATGCACAGCAATATTATCTTATTTGTAGACATTTTCTCTTCAATCACTGCCCCGAACAGTTTTTTTCGGTAGACCACAAAATTTGCTATTGTTTAATAAAGCTACTTAATTTAGACTTAAAACAATAAAGTTATTTCGTATTGTCTCCTCAGTACCATTAACAATAACCGGTAAGCATAGATATAGCTAACAGTGGGTGCAACCAGACAAGCTTAAGGTGCAAAATGAATGACGGAAGTTCACACCTACGTCCAAGCCTAAAGCTGCCTTAGACGTAGGTGTGAACTTCCGTCATTCATTTTGCACCTTAAGCTTGTCTGGTTGCACCCACTGTTAGCTATATCTATGCTTACCGGTTAATGTTAATGGTACTGAGGAGACAATACGAAATGCATGCATCTACCAGCCTTCGTCTTCTTTCCGTACTTTTCAAATTGTTGAAAGGAACTAACTGCTTTAAATAAAGTTATTGTAAGGAACATTTTTCTCTTAATCAATAGCACCCATCAAAACGACGATGTACAAAATATAAGGAACACTTTGGAAGACGGAAATTTAAAATTCCCTTTGACTATACAAACCTTTCATCTATACCATTTAGTGAATGTGTTGATTAAATGTATGTGTAAAAGGTTGATAACATCAGAGGGCATGGTTCTTAGGCCAAAACTGTGAGGATAACTGCATCACTGTGCTCCCGACATCAAAAGTATTTGTTAGGGAAATCTAACCAATGGTTACTGAGATTTTCATGGTCAACTTTTTACTCCCAACTACAAAAACATATTTTATCTCCAGTTATATCTGAAGTGGTAAGCATTGCAATTAATTTCTCTTCAGAAATCCTTGGTGTGGACGTTGTAGAGAATAATCAATGCCGCCCTATCTAAAGCATCGAGCAGAGTTGCTAAGGCAAGGCTGTCACTGCTCAAGCCTTCCCGTCTTCTAATTAATTCTCTTACGCTTCTTCATATTTTCGTCCCATTGAAATTTCACTATTATCTTCCCCGTTTCCAACCCCAAACTCTTGACCATCCTCCACATTGCTTCAATGGTCGCTTATCTTCTAGTTTCGACTCTCACGCAGTCGAAGGGCGTCGCTTTGATCCAGTCGATATGTCTAACTGCAAACAAGCGAACGACGTCAGTTCGTTGATTATTTTTGAAGCCCTCCATGTTCCCTACCACTGGCATGCCTCAATGTGGGCAATCTTTTACAGATCGGGCAACATGCAACACTTGCCTGAACAACAAAAAGCCCTCAATCCATATCTACCGCTTATCGCAAGGCAGCCTGTAAGATTCCAGCTCGTGCTCAGCCTACGTTCCCCAGATGCCACACAGGCGGAACTTTCTCCCTGCGCTTTTCTGGAGATGACACAGATGCAAATGTCAGTGTGGAGATCGTTTTATGTCCTCTGGCTGAAGCTGTCCTGGTCTATTGGATTTTAGTCAGCAGCCTGGTGTGTGCTGTCAGCTTGGTTGACTTCTACAAAGTTTCGCCGTCGGTATAGGCCACCGTAATGCTAACGGTGAGTGGTTACTACACCTGCCGTTCATTGTTCAGAAGCAATGCCTTGCGACAGCATCCGCAGAGAAGTGATATCGCGCCGACCAGCCTCGAACCATCCATGGACATAAATCGATCTCCTCGCGATCAGTTATCATTAGAAAGGCTGTGTCCCAAACTGCCAATCAATTTGGAGCACGAGCACGGATTTTGACCACACACTTGTTTACGCCGACCTGCGGCCGCATTTCAGCAGACGTCCGCAACGCCATAGATACCCGCCAAGTGGTGAAGCCAGCTGTTCGAAATGCATATCAAATTGCGCTGACATAAAGGTTGCGTAATCGCCTACGGAACGAAATCGAAGATCACTGGTCACACATCCGCCAGACTTTATTAGCAGCAGGTATGTCTTCATGTGAGAAATCAAATTGCTAATCTGGACGTTAATATAGTCTCTGGAAGTTATGGATGCTCGCTGAAGTTTCTCGACTGACAGCGAACAAAATAAGACTAGCAAAGTTCTCGGAGCAAAACTACATGTAAGCCTGAAAAATAGACTGGAAATCTTAGTAATCTTATCTTGGTTCAGAGATTGGGACAGCTGATGTTCTTTGCAAACCATTGTAATTTATTACCTCTGATAGAGGAAACGGACAGCAAGCGACTTAGCGATAAAGAGAACATACGCAGTGAAAGTCCATTTTGCCTAAGCGCTTGGAGCGTTGGGCTGGACACTTTGAGAAACCGATTTATCAATCAGAGTTAGCATCTTCTCTATCTGCCATTAATCATCGTTCATTGGGAACTATCCACGCAAAGAAGTTGAACGTGAGATCCTATTGCTGAAATCGGAAAGGACACAGCAGCAGATGAACTTCCTCTAGCTCTCCACAAATGCGGATGTCTGCTGTTGTAGATTACTTCCACAACTTACTAGGGATGTTACGAACGGTGAGTATTCTAGCACACTGTAGCAACCCCGTTACTTTCATTTTTTAAGGAAGGCTCACGTACGGATGTTAGAAATCTTAGAGAAATCAACCCACTATCAATAGTTCCTAAGTTGCTTGCGTGCGTAATTCTCCATGGTATGAATGGCGCCCGCGAAGACCAGATTCGTGAGGAGCAAGCTGGGTATCGATGAAATCGAGTCTGTAGTAACCACGTCTTCACTTTATATCAGTTGTTGGAATACCGCCACATCTATTGGCTACTCACCGTAGTCTTGTTCCTCAAAATCAATTGTGTCTTAGTTTCGATGGATTGATGTGCCCTTTAAGACTGTCTACTCCAGAATGGTTCGCCTGAAAGTTATGCCCATAAACAATATCAGAGCTCTTTATGCGCACAGTTCCGGCGGATAGAGGGTTTGTTTCAATTTGCCGCCGTCCTTTAATATTTCCAGCGCTGTGGGAAATGAATGCCCGCTATCATTCTTCCATTTTAACTTCGACGTCGACGAAGACATGAAAATTGCTTCCACTGGACACATGTTAACAACGCAAAGTTCCTGAGTTTCAACTTACAGAACCCGTGGGACTAGTCAGATGACCTCAAGGAACTGAGACAGAGACAGTCCAAGCTATAGCCCAGTGAGAAATTCGAATACACAAAGGTGAAGAGTGAAACCGCTCGACTGGGAAACGGTGATTGCCCGGGTGCTCTGACACTTTCGATTTGGGGATGCGAATATGGATTATGCTTAAGTAATTGAATAAACAATGAAAATTTTTATAACGATGGCACCATGATGGACTGAGGAAATGTCCTGTTGCGCTCGTAAGGCGCCTTTTCGAGTGTGCTGTTTCTGATGAAGTGGTTTATTTTAATCTGCAACTTTCTATCTTGTTTGAAAACTAGCTATGCTGGAGGTATGACAGTTGCAATGCAAATGCCTCAATTGCTTAAATTTGATTCTCTCGAGTCCATGAACGAACACAGAGCATAAGAAGAGAGACGGATTGCGTCATTAACCGACGAGCGTACTTACGGGTAGCGACTTAAGGAGTAAGTAAATAGAATTTATTTTCGCGACCTACACAATAATGATGTATCATTACAAACTTGCAGCTTGGCCAGATTCCCAAGCCATAACCAGTTCATTTGTACATTTTTCCAACCGTTCGCGTACATGTAAAATATCTTTATTGCCTTCGACATATCAAGATAATATAAACACTATTTTCCAAGGGTGTATAGCCAGAATGAGCAAGGCGGAATGACTAGTAGGTTATACTTGCTTCCATATCACAAATACCGTTGTTGGGGTAAATAAATGAAGATGTTTTGCACTGCCTATGTGCCGGTATTTTAAACGGCTCAATCACAGGTCCGTTAGTTTTTATTGGGCCATCGGCTGCTGCTGCTGCTGCAACTGAGCCCGGTTTGGCTTCATATTGTAGGCAGTGGACCAATGGGTTGCTACTGCCGCACCCCCAACCACACTGGGACCATTTTACGTGTATTATCGAAGGTAAGATATCTATGGTTTGAATGTATTTATTTCTTGTATATAATTCTGATGAACACAAATATTTGAGTAAAGCAAGTGCGTCGATGGAAAATACTTTTGGAAGTTCAATCACCAGTCAAGTAGCAAGAAAATATCTTCCAATGGAAGCTAGCAAAACACAGATGACTCCTTTCCAAGGCGTTAAGGAAGCTGCTGCGTCAGTGTTACACAAGTCTGTCTGGCAGCATGTTCTGACCAACCCAGTTCCGAGGACAAGCGTGTCGGTCGGGGTGCACGTAGTTTCGCAACTTCTGGTGAGTAAGGTTACGGTCCCAGCCACGTAACCCTTTGTAGTCTAGACCGCCACGAGAAAAGTGAGAGAACAATAACAACGACGACGAAATGAACACATTTTAACAACGAAAAATTTAGATGCTTTAGCGTAACTCCTACCCACTCAAGTCTTGCCAGTTGTCATGTACCACAGCTGATGATGTGATGCTGTGCTTCACTCCAGTTGGAGTGCAGCTTTCAAACAATCAACCGTTATCAATAATTGCTGGGTGCATTCCGAGGCACGGGAAAGGCAAGTGTGGCTCGAAAAGGCACGTAAAGCTAGTTTCTGCGAAGTATCCTGGAAAATCCGTAGACAGATTTCAGTAAACTGACTTTATTTAATTAACTGAAATCACCATTGACACATGCTTGTAAACGAAACCCTTAGGTACGTTAGCCATCAATTCTAGTAGCCTAGTGAATAGACACCGTCTCCAACGTGAATCTGACAATGCATTATCTTAAAATGTAATTAACGAGTCAGACAACAAAGCTAAAATAATGTACAGCAAAATGGGGAAACGGTCTGATTTTGTCATTAAATGTGATTCAAAGTAAAAGAGATAATTTTAACTCACCGAACAGGCTGTACAACCAGAAACCGTTTCAGTTTTTGGGTTTAAAGGACTTGAACATATAGCACAAGAATAACACTTTAACGCAGAGACTGAAGAAAATGGAAATACGGACGGTGAGTGATTTACAAAAATAAAGCTTTATACATAATTAGTCGGAGACAAACATTTTCAACACTATTGTCACGCAGGATATCGCTCATTAATTTTACTTGAGGAGCTTAACAAACAGGCATAGTGTACATAAGCAACAACATACCTTTCTCGACTGAAACCAATGTTACAATGTATGCGACGATAGCCAATTGCGCTAGCATTCTCGGGTCGCTGTGAGTGCAGTGTAGCGTTACTGAACTTTTTATTTGAATGCCACCCACCTGTCTCCATGATGGCATTGTTCCATCCAACCAGGAAAGGAGTGGATTGCACATTCAGCTACATAAAAAATGTATGAGAACAAATGAAAAAGCCGTAGCCTTCCTTTGGATAGTTACGTTGGAATGCTGATCTTCGAATTGTAGGGTACACTATTTGAATTTGTTCATTAGATCAAAGCATTGTTGTTCTGATGCTAACCGATAAATGCGCATTTATGGCAAATTGGAGGCGAATAAGTGAACACATGGACGTATCTCTAAACAAGCCGGTAAATTCGCACTACGAGAAATTGCCAACTGTACATGGAACTGTTATCACCTTTTTAGGTGCCCTGCTTAATCAAATGGGAATGCTGTGGTACACGGAGCGTGCGTTCCCATTGCAGGTTCGAATGGACTTGTGTTCGGTCGAGTCAGACTCACTACAACCCTACTGCTTCCGTGTTGATCAGTTTATCTGTTCCGAATGTTGATCCATATATTCAGGTACTTGAGGAGTGCGTTACATTTAGTTGTCGTTTTTAAACATGTAGACAGCCGTGTTAACCACTAAACTGTTAAATGCAGCCGTCCAGTACATTAGATGACAGGCCAAGTGTATCAAAACTGCCAGGGATTTGGACACCCTGAACGTCATCTATACTTTTGTTGCGAATGTTTGATTATATTTGCAGATAATTTGGCATTTGCTGGGGTGGTTGTGTTTGCACCGAGAGGATAGTCAGAGCCAGTGGAAGAAAAATGAGTTACCCGTCTGTAAAATTTGTGACCAGGATATATTTTGTGGTGGTTGCGTGAGAAAATCAGGATACGGGTGTATAAGAAAATAGAACTATCAGCTGGTCAAGTAGCTCGTAAGTGCAAAGTAGAGGTGCAGTAGGTTCATCGACGTCAGTGCTACAGGACCGGACTTGAGAAATTTAACGCCATTATACGATGATATATTTCTGCGTTATATAACGAATGAATGGGGGTGTGCATGCAGGGATGCATAAGTGGAATCGGCGAGGTCTGTGTGACCATCTCTCACCATCGAATTAGGACATCTTCACTTAGTGTGACGCAGAGGTGATGCCCATGGGTTTGTTCAGCTATTCGGAGACGCAGTAGCATAATATTCCAAGCCCACATGCATCTGTGCGAGAAAATGTCTAGTGAACTTTGGGACGCTATTACGTTGGTGACTGAATAGGTCCTAGCAAGTTGCTCAATGTAGATGGACGGATTATTACGTGAATCTCGTGGGATTATTTGTGGGTTGTATTGAGAGCACAATGTTCGTTTTCATTTGATTAAACCAAAGAGAGTTCGACGGCGATAGCTGAGCTCTGCTTAATCCATGGTGACCTTGCTTAACGAAAGTCGCACTTTCTACCTAGCGGTTCTGTTTTAAACCTCCTTGCGGGGTTACGGTTGTCCAAATCGGAACGGACAAACTCTTTCACTCGTTGGTTCCTCGCGTATAGTAGTCTAGACGATTCGCACTGGAAGGCTAGTGGACTTATCCGGCAGACGAGAACTCGCAATTGGTAGGGCAGATGGAACACGTAAACACCGCACAAGTGTACCGAGACGCACAGAAAGAAGAAGAGTGGGTTTACTGACACAATCAAGACAACCGGGCTCTCTACACCTTCATATTTATAGTTCATTAAAATAGTAGTAACTGTATAAACTATAAGGGAAGGCGTATGTTCTTTAGCACACGAGTTGTCATGTAGTGGCTCTATCTCCAGGCACGAGTAGGGTGGTTTCGAGGCTGTTGAGACGTTGGAAACCTCACGGTTGTTGTGCGTGCTAAGGTATTGTTAGGAACACGGCTCAGTAGGCAGGCTGTTGACTTGAGAATATACAATGGTGATACTGGGGCGAGTTCAGTGGAAACTGTGCGGGATATGTTGGCCGTGTTCTCAACGAGGAAACTCCGTTGTGATCTGTGCAGATGAGTAGGCCTTTGTCGGCAGTTTCCGAAGAGAGAGCTGCTCCCTGACCTGAGCAGCTTGGGTCACTCTATACTGACTGTGATGTTCGGGTTCGATAGCAAACTGGTACCAGTGAACTCCGAGTGAGTTTAGCGGGATCGTCACAGCCGTAAAGCAGGTTCCATCAAATTTTCGCGAATAACTGAAAAGCAGCGAGCATCCTTTGAGGAAAGGTCAGGTACAATTTTATCAACTGATACAATGTCAGGCTCATTGTACCTACATGGTTGTATAAACGATATGACAGCGCATTTGCTCGGCAAATTATCGCCAGATCACATAACCAGTCGTAAAATCTCTGATGTTCAAATTTGATAAATACACAAGTAGCACCGCAAATATTAGGCAAACTGGGTTTGTTCGGTTAGGGAAATTTCTGTCTGCCTCCTGTTTCGATAACAGATCACAAGTCATCATAAAGCCTGGCATGTATTAACTGTAGAGACATGAATCCATTAAGAAACCTCCAGCATTGATTGTGACGAGTGAACTAATGTGCTCATAACGGGGCCCATAGGTTGGTGTGTGAGAGATTTTTAACAGTAAAGCCCATGAAAGTGATTAACCCAAAGCAGACATCCATGAGGCTAAAGAATAACGGAATATTAGCAGCAAGTCGGTGGAAATGGGATGATGCCATACCAAAAGAGGTAACAAATTATGACAGATAACACTGCCTGTAATGCGTAATCGGATAGCTCGCCAACGAGCTCTCACTTCCTCGCATCATATGACAAGTTGCAAGGAGGTGAGTGCGAGGTCTCAAAGACTCTTGCAAATGGCTTTGCTGGTGGTGTCGACAACTGAGGGTAGAAAAGCGTTCAGGAGTAAGCAGCTCGGACCTGACAAGTAATTTTGCAGTCTAGCAGAATGAATCGTTAGATACTCTTAAATGTTTACCACTCAGCTTAGTGTTTCAAATGAACTACAGATAGACATGAAGTGGCGGCGATATGCGTTCACTACTGCGCCTCGCGTTGGGCCTCTTGATGCGGATGTTGTTGCGTATATCGTGCTACTTCACAGTAATGAAACTGGGGTGACTTATCCCGAATTTCACTAGATCTGACTGGACTCAGTTAATTATATTTGATGATCTCCGTTGATTCACTGTGAATACCCAGTTTAAAATGCGTCATCTATGCGTTCGTTAGCTGAGAGCCTCTAAATTGCATTTACATTTGTCAAAAATCACCATTACACCAGATCAGCCTTAATAACAAGTTGTAAGATTGGATGGATATCGTCTTGCGCGCTACGACTTAAACTACTTTCAGTACTCTGTGATTTGTTACTTAGATTTGCGAGAGCATGAATACTGCACCAGGGGTTCTACTGTTCCTTAACACTCTATAGTAGGTAATTCAAAACTGGCTTCACATTGGCTGTGCAGTCCACAAAGATTGTTTCCAAATGCAGTATATTGACTAGAGAGTCCCCGAGAAATTTTACTGTTAGCAAACAGTTGCGCCTTTACCAGTTATTACAGCAAAAGTCCGTAAAACCATCCTCATCCAAATCTAAAGTCCTGTTTTCCCGTACTGCATCTTACCGCAATTCTGTTCTACCGTACTTGTCCCGTTTGCTTGTTGACACAACTAAAGCTATCAGTATGATGTGAAAATATTCGCTCTAGTGATGTGCGCAGATATTTTATAGACGATTACCTCTTGGTATTTAAAAACAATTTGAAATATTTCGGCATCCGCAGTGATCGTGTAAAGTTTTGAAAATGCACTTACCCCGGTGCAATAAGCCTAGTTTGGCTTGCTTTGAACTGAACACGCACTTTATGTTGGCTTTCTTATGTCGTACATTAACTGTTCAGTTAGAATGTTTCAGTTATTCCCTATTGTGTGTTGTTTGATACCTCCGATGTGGCTGCCCTTGAAGTAAATACTGACAAAATGCCTTGCTGTCGAAAACTGTTATCTTGAGTATACCGACTCCAGTAGTCATTTCTTCGTTGCTGGAGGGGACGGGGTGCACCTTTTCGTGGCAGTGCTGGGCTTGAAGATTGATTGCATACAGTGTGGAACGGACTACGGTCAAGCCACCGCCTTGTGTACTTCCGGTACGCAAGTTTCCCTTGCTTTGATGGACAGAAACGCCGCTGCCACTGTGCAGGTTGAAGGAGTGTGCGCCGGCTCCGTTTATGAAACTGGGTTGCTATTCACATGCCCCCAGTCTCATTCCTTCAGGTTTACACTGGATATGAAGTGTGTGTGTATAGAGCTGTGGGCAATGAGATAAAAACCACACATGGACTCTTCGTTGGCGCAGGCGTCTTGTAGCTATCCTTTTGAATCCGACGTGAAAGGTAAGTCCGGAATCCGGTTCTCCAAACATTACGGCTCAACGCAGCAGCCGGTTAGGTCCATAGAACACAAGTTTCGTCGATCGGTGCCGGGTTATTTCCTGCCCACCACTGACATTCTCGTTGCTCATTGCTGTGGAGTAAAGCGTGATTGCGACTTATCCAATGTCATGAAGCCTACATTGCGTGTTCAAGATGCGCACGCACGTAGGCAATGAGCATCAGAAAGTTGAGTGACGAACCCAAACTCCCTTCTCCCCTCCGCTCGGGAAAAACCTCCCGCAGACCTTGTCACAAGCGACATGCGACTGTCTGCGCACCTGAGGTCATAGGGTACGAGCACACCGACGTCTTGCTCCTGTAGCGTGGTCTAGAAATCGTGCACCTCAGCTTCTGCATGCGAGCGTGCCAGTGATGAGTGTCAAAAACTGAATGCTGTGAGATCCACACCGACAAACTCGAGGACAAATCAAGGTGGACCTCTCTGTTCCGCGGTCATTTAATCCCTAGATCAATGGACAATACTTAACTTACTCCGTTAAGCGAAAATCCCTGAGATCACTACCATCGCTTGATACTCAATTGAAACGTAAGGCACATGAGGTTGCAGTACTGAGCTTTGTTGTAAGCTGCATCCGAAG